TTAGTTTGCGTGCATCTCGATTAGTTATATATATATATATATATTTTGGTATCTAGAGGTGTTTGGATTAGTTTGTGTGCATCTCGATTAGTCTTCCAAGGCTTGAAGTTAACAGTCAAGTAAGTCTCTATTCGAACTTAGAACCTCTTAAGTAATACATTCAAGAGTTATAAGCGAACTGTCAAACTATCTAGAGATAGTTTTTTATGTTTTAAATTCGTGTCATTTGAGATTTGGTGAGGCATCATTATATTAAATTTGATATTGGATTGATGAGTTATATAAACACCTAGAAAGAATATCTTAATATAGAAAAAGAATTGGTTATTTAAGGGTGCACCATAATACATACACATCGGCTCCGTTTGATTCAAAATTTTGAGTTTTTGGGAAAAGTTTTTTAAAAAAAGTTAAAAAAAAGTTGAATTGGGCGGGTATTACGATGTAGGATTTATAAATTAATAAATTACTCTCTATGTTTGTTTTTTTACAAAATACACTCTATAATCAAACATTAAAAGTTAACAAAAACACTCCCAACCCACCCTCAAATACGGACAGCCGGCCACCACCGCCGGAGGGTGGCCAAAGTCACCGTATCGATGCATAACCGGTTGGATTTTGCCGGTCGTGCGCTGATAAGGCCTTTTTCGACCAGATCCACGGTAGATCTGACTAGCAAATGTCAGATTTACGGTTAGATCTGGCCATTGACGGTCAGATCTGGCTGTATTTGCTATCCAACGACTGCCAACAAACGGTCGTCGTTGATGGTCAACGACGACCGTTTGTTGGCAGTCGTTGCTGACTGGTTACGGCCAGAGATCTGGCCGTCTTTGGCCTTAGATCTGGCCTTTTTCGGCTAGATTCGCCGTGGATCTAGCTGGAAAAGGCTAGATCGGCTTACTATCGGCCAGATTCAGCTAGTAGTGTGCCATCTTACCAGATTTCGACTATTTTCCGGTAGTGGTGGCCAGAATCTGATAAATGTGGATTGTTGGGGTGTTTTTATAATTTTTTAAAAAATATTTAGGGACATTTAATTAAATTAATAAATTTATGGGGTATAAAAAAAGTTGAATAAAATTGAATAAAGTTGAATAATATTATTAGTTTTTAAGTAATTTATAGATAATTTACTGTTTAATTTTTTTGGAATACTAAAAGTAGTATTTCCAATTGCCAACTAAACGAAGCCAATAAGTTTTCAATAATAAACAGGTTATACTTTTTGGAGATAGTGTAAATGACAAGACGGAAGAACTCTGGAAGCAGCGACCAGCCTGCCAGGTGATTACTGATTATATATATATATATATATATATATAATACATTCAAATTGTATACCTCGTGCGGCAGGCCACTGCATCTATCTTCTGCTAATTAAACAATTGAATATTTTTCTTTCTTATACACAGCAGCCTCTAGCCTCTGTACCCTGTACTCCTGTAGTCTGTACTCTGTGGTCAACTTTCAATCACCGCTAAGTCAAGCCCGGGGTGTTTACTCTAGAACATCAAAATATGTGTGCTTGAAGGGCCCTTTTTAATTTGAAAAAGATTTCTCCAAGTTGTGGACGATCCTATTATTGGTATTCACTATTATTGATGTATAATAATAAATTGCTTAGAATGATGTAAGTTCCCATTTGCTCTGGAATCTTATATGCAGATTATGTAAAAACGTGGTCAATAAATGTCTACGCAGTCTGGATTGGAAACTGAATGCCCTTCATCCATTTTGTGCTATAATCATCATTGGATGATCGAAAGGTCAATTATAACTTTTGGATGTATTACTCAAGAGGTTCTAAGTTTGATTCATCTGGGTTGGTCACTGAGAGAATTTATCAAACTGTTAACTTCAGGATCCTAAAAAATTAATTGAACTATACATGAACTGATAAAAAAATAAAAAATCGCTCTCCATCTACTCATCAAACACTATCTTAATTGCTTCTTAGGTAAACTAAAACCGAAACAATTTAATAATGAATGGAGCCTCGACCCATTTTTCTATTATTCCTTTCCTCCCCAATTACGTGTCAGTTTCAATTTAATTAATTAAATCCGAATGGTTAATTCGAGATCTTCCTTCACTCAAACCTCATCCAAATTCTATCTTCTTCCATTCGAAACTACATATTTCCCCTCTATTTGTTTGGATATACAACTCGACAGAAATGGCTGCCCCATGAAACGGAACTTTCAGCTTTCAAATCCCAACTTTAATTTTAGTCCATAAATGCAAAAATCCAAAACGCCATTATGAGCTTCCTCTTTATCAGCTTATCTAGCGACTCGAAAAATGACACAGAAGGAACTTTCTCTGTTCTTTCTCCATGTCCTTGATTCGGACAACCATTCTTAACAGGGCCAAGTATAAATATCATTTGCATTGCCACGTGCATGGCATCATCAATTCTGATCCATCAACTCTGCCACATCATCAGTTTGTCGTATGCTACGTGGCGTCATGGGCCCGCGGCTTTTTGATGCGGATATACGCCTGGTGTTAAGAATAATTCTTTTTGGATATTCGCATATGCGTTTCCTGCCGCCACCAGCCTTTCAATTTGTTGAAACGGAGGCGGAAACGAAGTTACGATATTACCCCTCTTGGTTTACCAAAGTTCCGATTTGGGGCTTGCTGAATTTTTGGTTGGTTTAACCAAATTGCCCCTTTAATAATTGGGGTTATTATTGGTATAAGAAATTAGGGGGATGATTAAGAAAAGAAAGATGTTCAAATTTGACGCATCGGAGGATGGATAATTTAAGACGTATATGACTAAAAGGATGATTTTAAATTTGTGTTATCAGGATTTATTTTACAGTTGATGAGTAAAATTTAATAAATCAAGAGTTCAATAATTACAGATTTATCATATTGTTTTACTCTGAGGCATTTTTCTTAATTATTTTAATTAAATTTTGGAGGTGTCTAAATTTGGTGATATCATAAGAGAATTGGTATGTCACGAAGTTGCCCACATCAATATGAAGATATATAATGGACTTGGACGCTTAATTCTTATAAAAATAATATTATAAAAAAGTAAAAAAAAAAAAATTTTATTAAATAGTTTCAACTTTATAAGTATCCTAATATTTTTATCTTATAATTAAGAAAAATTACCTCTCTCCTTGTGATCGGATGACAAACACTTTAGTTATTAGAATTAATTATATTTAGAGAGTCTTGTATTCAAGTAGTCCGAGGATACTTATTACATTTAATCCAATTTTGACAACATTAATTGTTATCTTTTCTCTAGATTTGGCATGATTATTTTCATATCTTTTTTTCCCCACAACAATCATTTTGTAAGCTTTGGCTTTACCATTACTTTTAACCTTATTCCTTCTTTTTTTTAAAAAGCAATAACAACGTAATAATGGTGCAAATTATGACCACCACTTTTATCATAACAACCCATTAATGAATAAGCAAGACAACACCTAGCTTTGTAGAAGTACTAAAAATGTGGTTCCCTCCATTATATTTCAGAAAAAAGGTAATGGAAACTAATTACATGGCCTTTTTTAAAAGGGTTTTTATTTATTTATTTATTTTTCTAATTACATTTCTCTCTGAAGCCGTCTGTTTAGTATGTGTAGTCAAATCAGTTGGAAATGACAATGTGAAAGTGCACGTAAAATGAAGAATTAATTAAAGAATAGTGATATTGACCTAAATACGATAACGTGTAAGTGTAAGATTTGTGGTCCCAAAAGAGATGATGAGGACTTCGTAACAATAAATATTTATTTATTTTTGATGATATAAAAATATTCAGATTTATTTATAAACACCTCAACTAATCTTTTAGAACTTTGAAGTTGATGATAGGATAAATCTCTTTAATGATCATCCCTATAAATAATCTAAATAAATTAAACTCAAAATCTTTTAAATAATACATCTAATAACTTTAATCGATGTTATGGATCATATGAATGAGAAATATATTTTCTATTACATTAAATAAATTAAAAGTAGTTTTGGTTTGCGTAATTAAATTATATTACATTATAATATTCCATTTTGCTTCTCCACACGACTTCCATATAAACCAACTTTTTCTAATAAACAATAGAGGCTGTAATTAATTGGCGTGTCAACGTAAATTAAAATATTTTGGTGAGTGTCTGTTGCGGATGAAATTTAAGCCACGTATTAATTAACATTACCAAGAGATGACGAAGACCTAATTGTCCCATTTGCATTTTGGAATTTATACTCGTTTTATTCAAGTAAACTTTTATATCTTTTTTTTTGTAACTTGTGAATTTAACAAATTATTTATGTGTTGAGACTTTTTTTTTTTTTTTTTTTTTAATATCGAGGGTATCCGATCAAGTTTGCATGTAAACTCAATTAATCTCTCGAGACCTTAAAATTAACAATTGGATAAGCCTCAGTGACAATCAATTAGCAGCTGAAATAGATCGAACTCAATACCTCTTGAGTAATATATCCAAAAGTTATAGTTGACTGTTCGATCATCCAATGATGGTTCATAAAATGTATTTTTAGAGTTAAACGACGTTGACATAAGTAAATACTCACCCAAATGTAACCAATTGTTAGTTATCGGGGGAATAATTTAAAATTCTATCGAAATTAGCCTTATTGTAGATCTTAATCAAATACAAACACAGAAAGCTAATAATTTCATATATTTAGTTGTTGAAAAATAATACAGTTATCGAAAGGAGCGTACCGAATTCATACACCGAATGACGTAGATCAATCATGATCATCGATTAATTATGAATTAATATTAATTAACGGTTAAGATTGAGCCACGCTCCTTTCAGTAACTGTAGCATTACTTCTAGTTGTTTGTCTAAAGAAACCAGCACGTCAGAAGGTCAATTTCGTCAACTCACCCAATTCCGTTACACGTTTGAAGAAAAACCACCCACAAATAATCAGAATAAAAAAATGGGCAAGATAGTAATTTACTAGTATTAAAATATTGTTATGGACGAGCATAAGAATCCTCGCTTTCCTCCGCAAACTGCAAAGCACAAACTCAGTTCTTTGTTCGTTAAGCAACTGGAAAATCCAGAGTAGAGAGAGTATCTCAGAATATTTTAGAGAGAGAAACCGCAACATCGATCAACTGAAGCTTATTTAAGTAGCTGGTGAGTTCAATGGATGCTTCTTTTTCAAGCCTGTTTATGTGTCTTGAATTCATATGGTGGTCGTCGTTTGGAAGAAGTAAAAATTGTTGACGTTTCTTTTTTAGAATTCTTTTGATTTATTCTTCGAGTTTTTTTTGCGATGTCAAAAGTTTTGTCTTTTTATTAATAAATACCAGTAAGAAGTAAATTTGACAAATGGGTGTTTGTTTTGCGGACTTTGATATGTGTTTGAAACTGTTTTTCGTCAAATATATTCTTCCATGTATAGTTGTTGATAATCAGGTTCTGTTTTTATTCATTCAGGTGTTTATGTAACAATTGATTGAATCTGTTTATTTTTTATTTTTTCGATTAGACATTCTTGGGCTTAATTTTTAAGACTCAGGTGGATTAATGAATTATGAGGTTATGCGGTTTACAAAAGAGTAAAGCTGGGATTTTACTGTGATAAAATGGAATATCTTTTTTATACGTTCTAGAAGACTAGTACACTTTTTTTGTTATTCTGTTTTCTGAGACTGCATTGTCCGAATAAATTTGATTGAATTATTGCTGGAGAAAGTAAACATCTGATTTCTTGTGTTTAATTTAGAATAAATCTGTTTTAAATTTCTTGTTAAAATGCTTTTTCTTTGTGCTTGTGTTAATATTCCTTTGATATCATTCTTAAGTTTCCTCGTTCAAATTATCTTATAGTATTAGCTTGAACTTGCTAGAGGAAGTGAAATCTAATTATGAAGTTTATGTGTCCGTGTTTCAGGCTTTCAGCTTCTTGTTGTAATCTATCGGAGGAAATTGATCCATTGCTTCTTCCTTATTTCTTCTAGAGTGAATATCCATACATGGGTTCGTTGGCAGAACCGACACCTGAGACAAGTGATAGAAAGCCCCTTGGAATTGGATTGATAGAACACATTAAGGGAACAAAAATTTCCTTCAAAACCCATCAAGTCATTGTTTTAATTTTAACTTTTTTGGCATATGCTAGCTATCATGCCACTCGGAAAACCACTAGCATTGTCAAGAGTACCCTTGATCCTGAAGCTTCAGATGTGAGCTTGAAATTCATCCCTTGGAGGAAAACTTACCTTCATGAACCAGCTGAAAGTAGAAAGTTATCATGGAAGTTGGGAGATGGATGGGCTCCGTTTAATGGGTCAGATGGGACTTCCTTGCTCGGTGAGCTTGATGTGGCTTTCCTCTCTGTATATGCTTTTGGAATGTACTTTTCTGGTCATTTGGGCGACAGACTGGATCTGAGGATAGTTTTAACGGTTGGAATGATTGGAACCGGTTTGTTTACTTCATTATTTGGGGTAGGATATTGGGGAAATATCCATAGTTACTACTACTACTTGATAGTACAAATGCTGGCTGGTTTGTTTCAATCAACTGGGTGGCCTTCAGTTGTTGCAGTGGTTGGCAAGTGGTTTGGGAAGAGTAAGAGAGGGCTAATTATGGGTATTTGGAATGCTCACACATCTGTCGGGAATATCACTGGTTCTTTGGTTGCCTCTGCTTTATTGAGTTACGGGTGGGGTTGGTCCTTTGTTGTGCCCGGTCTTATGATTGCTTTTCTTGGCTTGGTGGTTTTCTTCTTTCTGCCTGTTAGTCCTGAATCTGTTGGAGCTGATAGAGAAGAGGAAGATGAATTGCATTCTCTAAAGAAAATTGGGGAGGAAGTAACAGAGCCTTTGTTGAGACCAGAGACACCGGTTAAAGAGAAACCTGTGGGATTCATAGAAGCATGGAAAATTCCCGGCGTTGCTCCATTTGCTCTTTGCCTCTTCTTCTCCAAATTGGTTGCTTATACATTTCTCTATTGGCTTCCCTTCTACATTACCCATACAGGTAATTAGTCTAGTTTGTCTTCTCATTCTTGTGGTTAGCTTAAAGATATCAACTCTTATAATTCTTTGATGAATCCTTATTCATTTATGTTCATCAATCTCCAGCCATAGATGGGAAGTATCTATCCAGTTCGGCAGCTGGAAACCTGTCAACATTATTCGACGTTGGGGGCGTAGTTGGGGGCATCCTAGCTGGCCATATTTCGGATCGCCTGGATGCCAGAGCCATAACAGCAGCAAGTTTCATGTATTGTGCAATTCCTGCTTTGTTCTTCTATAGGAGCTATGGAAACATTTCCTTGATTTTAAACATAGTTCTTATGTTCATCACCGGCATGTTTGTAAATGGCCCTTATGCTCTTATAACAACTGCTGTCTCAGCTGACTTAGGAACCCACAGTTCATTGAAAGGGAACTCACGGGCATTGGCAACTGTAACCGCAATTATTGATGGAACTGGCTCAATCGGGGCTGCTATTGGACCATTAATCACCGGTTATATTTCTGCTACGAGCTGGAGTGCAGTTTTCACAATGCTGATGGCAGCAGCTTTGATTGCAGGGCTACTTCTTACTAGGCTTGTTGTGGCTGAGGTTACTGCAAAGCTAGCCGAATCAGGGTCACAAGGAAGGCAACAATCAAGGTCTCCATCAGTGACAATTGAAGAAGTGTGATATGCTAATATCACTCATATTGTATCTTGTGTAATCTTCATAGGTCAGGGTATTTCTAGTTCTGATTTAAAAAACAAAAAATTGAAAGAGGGCAAAACCCTCAGATTATGTTCAAAGATAGGAGAGAATGGTTTTTAATTCTCTCCGATTAAGGTTAGGAAAGATCAGAGGAATCAGATAAAAGATTCTTCCATGTCTGTATATACACATTTTTTTGTATGTTATATGAATTGAAAGATTCTACTCATGAATTGGTACTCGGTTAAAGGATTCATTATTATTTAGGTGGGAACATGGACTCAAATTGCTATGAACTTTCAACTTGCAGTGTAAGTGGTCAAGCTGGTAATCAGTTGGATTCATTTCTACTTTCTTAAAAGAAAAAATGTTACAGACTTACAGGTACCAAATTGGTGGGGCTTTGTCAGGTACAAGAAAAGACGAGCTGGAGAGTAACTTTCAAATTTGGGGCTCTAAGCTTGACCATTTGAAATTTTGAATCACACCTATATTTGAGCAGAGAGAGTCATTTTTTTTTTTTTTTTGGTTATCGGGACGCACCTTGACTAATTCTTCGACCCCAAACAAAGCTTTCGAAACAGAACAAGTTCTGTGATCTGTGGCTAACAATATTAGAACCGTTCTTGTGATTCGAACTTGAGGCCACAAGGAGAACAAATCCCTTGGCTGTAAGCTTTACCACTCGGCAAAACATTGTTGGTTAAAGAGAGTCATTCTACTTTCTTAAAGAAAAAATGTTACAGGTACCAAATTGGTGGGGCTTTGTCAGGTACAAGAAAGATGAGCTGGAGAGTAACTTTGAAATTTTGGGCTACACATATGACCATTTGAATCAGAATCACACCTATTTGAGCAGAGAGAGTCGTGTTTCATGTACTATCATAATACTAGGGAGCAAAAACCCAAAAAAGGTTGATCCTTCATAACCTTTTGTGGCCTACGCAAGGGCATCACGGGACGAAGAAAAAAATGTATTTTTTTCCAAACTCTAAAACCAACCTTTGACTTAGAGAAGGATAGGCACCAAACAATATAACCACCAAGAAATTTCTGACGTGGTCCCTGTTCATCAAATCCAGGAATTTTCACTCGTTTTTATCTCTAGACTACGACAGAAGGGAAATAATTTAAAAAGAAAATGGTGGATATTATGCTTGACAGAATTGTGATATTACAGCTTATATACATAAAAAAGTGCAAGTGCAAGTGGAGATGCCGCAATTTGAGAGGTTAAAATCCATGGTATTGTCAAATTCAACGGAAAAGAAAACAGAGGATAAAGAAAGGCATTTACTTTGTTCACTTTTGAAATGAAAAGTAACCCACTATTATTAAATCTAATGTGAAAGATCTTTAGTTTTGTGCCATGCATTTATTTGAGATTTGAGAAGACAGCCACTAACTAAAGAATTATAGATTTTGACATATTTATCTACCCTTTACCCAATCCAATCCTAATATCCTATATTCCCATTTGAATAATAACCACCACAAACTTGATGCTCCTTACTCTGAAACCACCATAAAGATTTATATCGATTTCTTTATTAACCACAGATTCTTTATTCTTGGGAACAAAATCACCACGTAAGTAATCAATAAACTTGTAAAGTATTAGTTGATGCTCAAAACTTGACACCCACGACTTTGTACGTGTAAAATGCTAAAGAATCACATATAAGTTAATTATAGTAAGTAGGTGAGGTATTGTGAGTATAATGGCATGCACAGACGTAAATGTAAAGTTGATAAGATAATTTTTACAATGGTTCAGATGTTTAAAGCAAATTCTACATCTACTATATTTATTTATATAAATTATTTACTAGTCGCTAGATAAGTTTACAAGAGGTTACGAACTGCGATATGAGATTACAAGTGTTTATAGAGAATGTCAAGACAGTCTCTTTCAAATAATGTGTCTTTGTTATTTTATTTGTTGAATGTATGAATGTTTGATCTTGATTTTCTGAGGAAGAACTGCCTATTTATACCCGTTTAGCTTAAGATAATGATTACACTTTTGTAAGTAGTGTTGTGAAGATCTCTCTTGCCTTCCCATTCATTGAAAACTCAAAGAATATCCTTAAATTAATTTAAATGAGACTTGGATAGATATGCGAACCAAATTTACTCAGACACAAAATCTTGAATTGGTTTGGATTTGTGACAACTATATTCCTTTTGCTTGTGGAGACGTGTCATGTTCTGGACAGTGGAATAATTTCTTTGATTCTGATTGGTGTTGATAACATTCAGTCTTTATTTTAGGCATAACAGTATTAAAATTAGAATAAGAATTTGTGGCTTATGAAATAAATAAAACCTCAATAAGATTACCTAAACGCACTAGAGGATGACAAAGGTTTGCCGTATTAAACTCTCCAACAATTTATCTAATATTATACAAATCTTCAACTGTTNACGCACCTTGACTAATTCTTCGACCCCAAACAAAGCTTTCGAAACAGAACAAGTTCTGTGATCTGTGGCTAACAATATTAGAACCGTTCTTGTGATTCGAACTTGAGGCCACAAGGAGAACAAATCCCTTGGCTGTAAGCTTTACCACTCGGCAAAACATTGTTGGTTAAAGAGAGTCATTCTACTTTCTTAAAGAAAAAATGTTACAGGTACCAAATTGGTGGGGCTTTGTCAGGTACAAGAAAGATGAGCTGGAGAGTAACTTTGAAATTTTGGGCTACACAAATGACCATTTGAATCAGAATCACACCTATTTGAGCAGAGAGAGTCGTGTTTCATGTACTATCATAATACTAGGGAGCAAAAACCCAAAAAAGGTTGATCCTTCATAACCTTTTGTGGCCTACGCAAGGGCATCACGGGACGAAGAAAAAAATGTATTTTTTTCCAAACTCTAAAACCAACCTTTGACTTAGAGAAGGATAGGCACCAAACAATATAACCACCAAGAAATTTCTGACGTGGTCCCTGTTCATCAAATCCAGGAATTTTCACTCGTTTTTATCTCTAGACTACGACAGAAGGGAAATAATTTAAAAAGAAAATGGTGGATATTATGCTTGACAGAATTGTGATATTACAGCTTATATACATAAAAAAGTGCAAGTGCAAGTGGAGATGCCGCAATTTGAGAGGTTAAAATCCATGGTATTGTCAAATTCAACGGAAAAGAAAACAGAGGATAAAGAAAGGCATTTACTTTGTTCACTTTTGAAATGAAAAGTAACCCACTATTATTAAATCTAATGTGAAAGATCTTTAGTTTTGTGCCATGCATTTATTTGAGATTTGAGAAGACAGCCACTAACTAAAGAATTATAGATTTTGACATATTTATCTACCCTTTACCCAATCCAATCCTAATATCCTATATTCCCATTTGAATAATAACCACCACAAACTTGATGCTCCTTACTCTGAAACCACCATAAAGATTTATATCGATTTCTTTATTAACCACAGATTCTTTATTCTTGGGAACAAAATCACCACGTAAGTAATCAATAAACTTGTAAAGTATTAGTTGATGCTCAAAACTTGACACCCACGACTTTGTACGTGTAAAATGCTAAAGAATCACATATAAGTTAATTATAGTAAGTAGGTGAGGTATTGTGAGTATAATGGCATGCACAGACGTAAATGTAAAGTTGATAAGATAATTTTTACAATGGTTCAGATGTTTAAAGCAAATTCTACATCTACTATATTTATTTATATAAATTATTTACTAGTCGCTAGATAAGTTTACAAGAGGTTACGAACTGCGATATGAGATTACAAGTGTTTATAGAGAATGTCAAGACAGTCTCTTTCAAATAATGTGTCTTTGTTATTTTATTTGTTGAATGTATGAATGTTTGATCTTGATTTTCTGAGGAAGAACTGCCTATTTATACCCGTTTAGCTTAAGATAATGATTACACTTTTGTAAGTAGTGTTGTGAAGATCTCTCTTGCCTTCCCATTCATTGAAAACTCAAAGAATATCCTTAAATTAATTTAAATGAGACTTGGATAGATATGCGAACCAAATTTACTCAGACACAAAATCTTGAATTGGTTTGGATTTGTGACAACTATATTCCTTTTGCTTGTGGAGACGTGTCATGTTCTGGACAGTGGAATAATTTCTTTGATTCTGATTGGTGTTGATAACATTCAGTCTTTATTTTAGGCATAACAGTATTAAAATTAGAATAAGAATTTGTGGCTTATGAAATAAATAAAACCTCAATAAGATTACCTAAACGCACTAGAGGATGACAAAGGTTTGCCGTATTAAACTCTCCAACAATTTATCTAATATTATACAAATCTTCAACTGTTTTTTTTTTTTTTTAATACTTAAAAGTTACTTTTTTTTTATCTAATTAAAATAGTATAAAGAGACACTTAAAACATTGTTAAATACGCCTTCAATATATGGACTTGACAAAGAGGATTTGTTCTTCCATTTAAATTTTTAATTGAAGAACATAGAAGTAGAACTACTAAGAATATGAACCCAGTCCAAAGGCCCATCAGGCATAGCAAATTTATGGGCCACCTTAAGGTAATCAATTTATGTGTTAATCAAGCTTCACCCATAAGGTGGTTGTTGGGCTTAGTTATTTGGATCACTGGCAAGCGTGACAGCACCAATATTAACGGAACTGGCTCAATTAGGGGATGCTTGCTCTAGCAGCATTATGTTTAAGATTCTTCGACTAATTTTATCTATTTCATATATGGAGGAAAAGAAGGGGAAAATTAGAATTTTATTACCTTTTTCGTTTTGATATACTGAGTGAAATCTAGCCCTAGAAGAGCTCAGTTACAATACTGAGAATTTGAATACCAACCTGAAAAGTAAAAGGTTCAAATCCTCTTATCCCTTGATCTTACAAGCCCCACAAGCTGTGATCTTTAAACAATTTTGAGCATTGTTCAGACTCAGACAGTGATGTGACGATCTGAAATAGTTCAATAGAACTGGTAGAATCGACATTTTGGATTAACTGGACAAGTCTAGACACCTCTGAACACAAGGACTAATGAATCTTAAGAACTCTCCAGATTTTCTCCACACACTCTGTGGACCATCATGCAACTTTGAAAAGGTTAAGCATTTACTCTGCAAAAAAATAAAAATAAATAAATAACACTTTGTTTCTATCAAATTGTGGACAAACAGGTTACAATACTTTAGATTTTCAACCCAGCATAAAATGGGAAGTAAACAACTTGATTTCTATTGAACCAGATACGTAAAGACAAATATGTTTATAAGTCAGAGGCTTACCATGAAACATGAGATAAAGTGAATGAGTCTAAAGAAAGAGAAACTCCTTTCACATAAAAGCTTAGAAGTGGGATGAAATTCATAAAATACAAGCTTAATACCTCAGTTATGTACTCTCCTAGCCACCTATGTGTAATTAAGGATGAAACAAAATCCATCAATCAATTTAAGAGTGTTATACCAGTTTTTTTATTTCAAACAGAGATATTGGAGTTTCTGCATGCCAGAGATCCAACATACATAGTATGATCCTTATAATTGGTAATTGAGGTCCCCAAATTCCATCGATCAAATCAACTTACGGAAAGGGGTTATGCCAGGTATTTGTTCATTTTTTAAGCATACATCCTTCACATGAAACTGGGTTTTGTAAACAATAATGCCTTTCGGGAATCAGCTATTTTCTGAATCACATTGGTCATGATGAATAGAACATAGAGACCTTAACCCAAATGTAAAAATAGTGCTATGGCCCGCGATATAAAAACTACATCAATGAATTTAGAAACACAATAACAACAGGTTGTTGGGTGCAATGGGATTAGGTATGGGCACTACTGCTACATGAATTGATATTTAAGACTATAGCACAGCAAATGATTGAAGAAAATACATTCGGATATTTGAATTAGTGAAGATGGTATAGCAACTACTTGTATATACATTTACACTTTCTCCACTGATAGATACCCAAGAATACAATACATGGCTTAAAAGCAACGAGAAATGTGGCTTCTTCAAAAGAAGTCTGTCGATGTGTGCTTCAACACTGACAATGTTCCATCAGGCCATTAGAGCTACAGAATTAGAAAACTTTTGTTTATTTAACTAGACACATAACAAATTCCTAATGATACTAAAAAGACTCAAGAATTGTTCAAAATATGATCCCTAATCAGTAGTCAAGCTAAAAATCTAAATACTGCATCATGCGAAAGCCGTCTACATCCACCTTCAATATAACTCTATTTTCCAATACATAATCTTCTCTGGTTCTCTTATTTCATTTCAATCAGAAACATCTTCCAAGGCTAAATCTTAATAGAAATATTGACCTGATGGCTATAAATTAAATTGAATCAACTGAAATGTAATATAGCAATCAATCTGACAAATAAGAACATTGAAGAAGCAATGGATTATAATCATGAATCATCTTATCTATGCCAAGACAAAATTGAGCATGTTTGTATAGATTAATTTTCTCTTCCCAACCGCATCTGAACCGGAAAAACTTATAAATTTTGAACTAAGAATAACAAAATATAACCTTTCTTGGTTGACAAAACGGCGTCGTTAAGCAGCAACTAATCTTCTTTGTCTCTCTTCTTGGGCTTACGATACGTCTCTTCAGTGCGCTTGGCCATGATAATCGCGTCGTTAGCGAGCTTCTTGATGTTCGGAACTTTATAGTTTTGAGCAATGTAAATCCCAGACACCGTCCCTACTATAAACGAGAAACTGCTTCTTATGATCCCCATCGCAACTTGTTTTTTACGATTGATGCTCTCAAATCGACCCCTAACCAACAAAAACTAAGAATCGTTCTGCTAATATTCTGGTATTTAAATTTCGAGAAATTCTTAGGGTTTTTCTGTCTACAGAAACATCGTGGTTTCTCGAACCGTCGGGAAGATGAAGGGCCTTGGGCGGCTTAAATGTACAAGTAATCGAAGCACAATAGTTTGAGCGTTTGACTCCGAGAAGATGGTCAACGGCTTAGCGTAGTGTATACTTTTTATTTTATTTTATTTTTTGTCTTATAAGTTGGGATAAGTAAATAAACCAATGTTTTGAAAACCGGACCATGACTCGACTCAGCCAAAGGCCCAGTTTCCAGTTTTCACGGTTGGACTAGTTCGATCGACAGTCTGATCCCCCTTTCAAATTACTGTAATGAAGTTTCACGGTGAAACTTTCACAATCAATTTCGAATTTCCCATGAGAAATTACTTTTTAGAGTTTTAGAAATTCAATTAACAGATTCACATCACAATAATACAATATCATGATATGAAATAGAAGAAAGAGAAAGATAGGATGACTCTTACAGTTTGTTACTTGGTCGACGACAGACGGCAGCTCACAGACGGTGACAATAATGATAGATGTGAAGGCTGAAGTTGAAGTCGCAAATCTGTAGCAAACCTACCACAGCAAGGAAGAAGCAGACCTTTAGATGGTGACAACGGCGATTGAAGAGGTTGAAGACTTGAAGACCTAAAGACTTGAAGCTAAAGGAGATCGCGAATGGAGGAGGAGGCAAAAAGCAAATACAATCGCAAAAAAAAAAAAAAAAAAAGGGTTAAAAAAATTTGGTTTAGTTTAGGGTTTTGTTAGTGGACCGAATTTGGGTGTTGGGCCGGTTGGACTGGCGGTTTGATACAGTATGGTCCAATAGCGGTTTAAAGCGGTCCAATGCCAAATCTTGGTTTTTTACCCTCTTTGAATCGATGATCTCACCGAAACCTGGTCAGACTAATTCGACCGCCCCGTCCGATCTGGGTTTTAGAACATTGAAATAAACCCCCCACAGTTTCTGCAATTTACTATACCACCCGTCACCATTTAAAATGCAAGGATAATCCCATACCGGTAGCGTCCGTTGAAGAAAATCTACAAGTTATAAAATAACATTTTCACCTTATCATATGTATTTTTTATCCAAATAACACTAACAATTTTTTTTTTTTTTTTTTCATTTAATCATTTACTTAGTATCTTTACCAATTAATACTGATATAAATATTTTAATATATCAATTTTCTTAATTTAAACAATATTTTTATTTCCTTTTCCATTCTTTTCTCTCACCAAAACTTCATTCAATATTCTTCAAACTTTTCTCACCTTAAACTAAATTAATCCATTTTCTTATACTTTCCTACTTACCAACAAAACTTATCATCAAATACTTATTAACGCAAATTTAATATTAAGTCCATAAGTCCATTCATCAAATTTCTCACCCAAAAGTAAATTCATATTTTTTCCCTCTTACCAAAAATAATCAAAGATATCAAATAAATCATAAAATAAAGTTTATTTAACTTGAATCCAATAAATAAATAAATAAATAAATAAATAAATAATTTAACAAATGAAAAAAAGACTAAACGAGATTATCTACTTGTGCCGGTGTGATTTGGCAAGATTAATCAAATCAATGGTCTCGCAAATAGACCTTGGTGGCCAAAGTTAGCCCTCAAGATTTGGCTAGTTGCAATGTCCTAAATAGTTGTATTTTTTTTTTTTTTTTTTTAAAGTAAAATAAGGGGAGAAGAGGAGGAGGAGAAAAAAAGATAAAGAAAAATAGAAATATAAGATGAAAAGAGAAGAAAGAAACTGTTACATGGTTACGTTGAAACTTATCAAAATATCAAGTCCACATTGATCATGTCATTCTGTTTTGAACATGGAATTAGTTCATTCATTTTAGTTTTTCTTGTTTAAGTTTACGTTTGAGTTATTAACATTATTCCCTATTTTTGCTTAGTTAGTTTGGCTTTTGACTTGTATTTAAATGATTTTTTATTATGGAATAAATGTATCGAATATAAAAAAATATGCAACTTACTGTTGTATTAGGAGGCCTTGACCACTCAAAGTGTCAAGAAACTTATTTTTTTCTTAATTGTTTATTTAGCAAAAGTGAGTGTATCATCTTTGGTATCAGAGCCTGGCTATGGATTTGCAAGAGCAGGTGAAGAAGTTGGAAGAAGGCCTTAAATCTCTCTCTGATGGACAAAATGATCTTCTCAAACATGTTACTGAGCAAATGGAGAAGATGAGCCAATAATTATATGGCAAGAACTTTAATGAAACCAGTGAAGGTTCTAGTGTTAAAATGGGTGGACGTTCTTCTAAGGGAGGAAGCTCTAGCACGAATTTCATTCCAAGAACCATAAAGCTTGATTTCCCTCAGTATGACGGTCGAGACGACCCGGTTACTTGGATGAGTCAAGCAGAGAAATATTTTTCGCTTCATGATATTGCTGAATCAGACAAAATGGCGCTATCATCATTTTACTTGGAGGGTGATGCCCAACTGTGGTTCCAAACATTGGAACAGGAAATCCTTTATGTGACTTGGGAGAATTTTAGAAATGGGTTCTTCTCTTGTTTTGGTCAAAATCAGTTCGAAGACCCGTTTAGTGAACTTATCAAATTGCGGCAAACTAGCTTAGTAATTGAATACCAAAGCACATTTGAAAGAACATTGGCCAAAGTTGATATTTCTCTCAATCTAGGAAAGTCAGTTGTTTCATCACAGGCTTGAAAGACAGCATTCAAACCGACGTGCAAGCAAATAGGCCTTCTACACTAACCATGGTGGTGGGATTGGCAAAGTTATATGAAAGTTGCGAGCTCCCACATAAGAGATATGTTCTTCCAATTGCTCGACCAGTGAACCCAACACGAGCTGCTATAGGGCCTCAAGAATGTAATACAACAAATACAACAACCAAGAGGATGATGCCGGTTGAACTTGNAAAGACTAAACGAGATTATCTACTTGTGCCGGTGTGATTTGGCAAGATTAATCAAATCACAATGGTCTCGCAAATAGAACCTTGGTGGCCAAAGTTAGCCCTTAAGATTTGACTAGTTGCAATGTCCTAAATAGTTGTAATATTTTTTTTAAGTAAAATAAGGGGAGAAGAGGAGGAGGAGAAAAAAAGATAAAGAAAAATAGAAATATAAGAAGAAAAGAGAAGAAAGAAATTGATACATGGTTACATGGAAACTTATCAAAATACAAAGTCTACATTGATCACGCCATTCTGTTTTGAAAATGGAATTAGTTCCTTCATTTTAGCTTTTCTTGTTTAAGTTTATGTTTGAGTTGTTAGCATTATTCCCTATTTTTGCTCAATTAGTTTGGCTTTTGGCTTGTATTTAAAGGATCTTTTATCATGGAATAAAGGCACTGAGTATCAAAAAATTTGCAACTTACTGTTGTATTAGGAGGCCTTGACCACTTGAAGTGTCAAGAAATTTATTTCTTTCTTAATTGTTTATTTAGCAAAAGAGAGTGTATCATCTTTGGTATCAGAGCAAGGTTATGGATTTGCACAAGTGAAGAAGCCGGAGGAGGGCCTTAAATCTCTCTCTGATGGACAAAATGATCTTCTCAAACATGTTACTGAGCAAATGGAGAAGATGAACCAACAATTATGTGGCAAGAACTTCAATGAAACTAGTGAAGGTTCTGGTGTTAAAATGGGTGGACGTTCTTCTAAGGGAGGAAGCTCTAGCACGAATTTCATTCCAAGAACCATAAAACTTGATTTCCCTCAATATGATGGTTGAGACGACCCAGTTACTTGGATGAGTTGGGCAGAGAAATATTTTTTGTTTCATGACAATGTTGAATTAGACAAGGTGCGTTGTCATCATTTTACTTGAAGGGTGATGCCCAACTGTGGTTCCAAACATTGGAACAAGAAATCCTTTATGTGACTTGGGAGGATTTTAGAAATGGGTTCTTCTCTCGTTTTGGTCAAAATCAGTTCGAAGACCTGTTTAGTGAACTTATCAAATTGTGGATAACTATCTCAGTAATTGAATACCAAAACAGATTTGAAAGAACATTGGCCAAAGTTGGATCTCTCTTTCAATCTAGGAAAGTCAGTTGTTTCATCACATGCTTGAAAGAAAGCATTCAAACCGACATGCAAGCAAATAGGCCTTCTACACTAACCATGGTGGTGGGATTGGCAAAGTTATATGAAAGTCGCGACCTTGCACATAAGAGATCGGTTCTTCCAATTGCTCGACCAGTGAACCCAACATGAGCTGCTATAGGGCCTTAAGAATGTAATATAACGAATGCAATAGCCAAGAGGATGATGCCGGTTGAACTTGCAGACGCCGAAGCTAGGGATTGTGCTTCCATTGTAACAACAAATACAACCCAGGACACAATTGCCCAAAGCTCTTTTGAATTGAGGCATGTTGGGACGAGGAAGATGATGACATGATAATGGAAGTCGAAGATGAAATTGTTGATACAGCTCCAGCCATATCACTTCATGCAATGTCAAGAGTTCAAGCACCAAGGATAATGAGGCTATAAGGAAGTCTTAAAGGTCATTCAATGATGGTTTTAATTAACTCAGGCAGTACTCACAACTTCATAAGTTCGCGAATAGCTTAACAAGTACAACTACATCCTAACTCTGATGGAAGATTGGAAGTATTGGTGGCATCGGGGGAGAGATTAGAAAGTCTTGGGAAATGCACTCAGATGCAAATGAAACTCTAAAAGGTTAGATTTTCAACTGAATTTTTTATATTGCCTTTTGAAGGGTATGATGTGTGCTGGGACACAATGGCTAAGGACATTGCGACCAATCCAATAGGACTTCGAGAAACTACAAATGAAGTTTTGTTGGGGCTCCAAAGAAGTTACTTTGAGAGGTACTAGTAAGCCAGAAAATAAGATTTTCTAGTAGTGTGACTTGCCCAAAGAAAGACTCCTTTGAATGGAGTGTGGTAGTTGAGGAAGCCTTTCAAAAACTCAAGCTTGCAATGACTAAAGCTCTAGTATTAGCTCTTCCTGATTTTTCTAAACCGTTCATTGTTGAGTGTGATGCCTTCTGGATTGGAGTTAGTGCTATTTTGTTGTAGGAATGCCCCATTGCTTATTTCAGTCAAGCTCTCAATGGAAAGAATCTTCTTCTTTCAACTTACGAAAAAGAAATTTTGGC